TAAGTTTTTCTTATTTTTCAGCATCGTACCACCCTAATATACCCACACACGTTCCTAGCCAAAGATAACATCAAAAGGGGCACACTTCAGTTCGCCAATTAAATAGGAATAGGAAAAAGCCGACAAGTGGTTTGTTCTTGCTTTCTTTTAGTTTTTGTTTTTATTGTTGCTTTTATTTTTTCCAGACACTTGAATTGTTCATAGGAGGCTTATCTAATGGTAATAATAATGACAAAGAAACCGGTAAAAACGTGAAATAAAATAAAAGTATATTCAACCCAAGATATTTCTTTTTGAAAAGAAATTTAAACAAAACAAAAATTTCCATACATTTTTACACTGTTCGACTGAAGAACAAACTGTAAAAATTTAATTTGATAATAGCGAAATAAAAAAACAAACATTGAATAGAAATTAATTAATTTCAAAAAAAACAACCAAAAATTGGAAACACCGAGAACAGTTCCATTTTTTAGAAAGAACTTTTTCGAACAAATAAATACTTCTTTAAAATTCCAATAAGTAATGTCTGATAATTTAAATTTCAATTTTGTGAATTAAAAATTCCAATTTTTGGTTAATAATTTAAATAACAAAAGCCATGAATATTCTAAGATCTATTTGGAAATAAAAACAATCAAAACTTTTATTACTTTAATTTGTAATCTAAGCTAATATAATTATTGGCTATTGCGGATAATTTATTACGTAAGTATTAGATATATAGATTAAAAAAATGAAGATAATGACAATTTCGAAGTAACTGATTCTAACCAGCTTTCTGTTTATTTCTGATCCACATTGGAAGAAGGAAAAGGCATTTAGAAAGCTGACAGATATACTGACAAGCATTTGTCGCTCTGTCCAACAACAGAGTATATGTTCTAAGCTATTAATTCCATTCGAATTATTTTTGTATCATTACGCATTCAAAAGTTATGAAAAATCTGAAATAACGACATTTGACAAACACTTGTCATCAGCGCCATCTATTGAATGGGTAAATGCGAAAATCGATTATTCAAAAATTTAAACCTCATTTGTTTTCCTATAATTTTTGACCTTGAAAATGAAGTTGGAGTTTCAAAATTGGGTTTACAAATTATGGGATATTACATTGTATGAGAGGTAACAGAAGGACTGGATCAATGTATCTTATCTTCGACCTTTGAAAGAAATATTACGATATGCGTATTATGTGTCCAATTGGATTAACAAATTTTAAAAAGGTTTGACGATTTTGTGTAAAGACTGCGTTTGACCTAAAAGTATGCTAGAATTTTCATTACAAACCAGCAGCCATTCTGAAAGTAAAATTGCCGTTTTTAAAACATCCATTTTTGTGTGGTTTTTCATTTTCAGGTAATAGGCGCCCAGCACCAAACAGTAGGTATATTTTGGATCATTGTTGAATTCAAATGCAAATAACTCGGGAACTACTAAGCCGATTTTCATAAATCTTGCACAAATGGTTCGAGGAAATTCTAAAGTTTTATTCTATACTGGCAATAAATATATAAACTTATTTTATATAAGAGATAATGGGCATTATGTAAAATTTCAAAGAAATTTTAAATATCAACTATTTTTTGTTAAATTTATACGAAATTTTGCATAACGTATTGAATTGAGCTTAGAATGACGTACCCTAATAAGCATACCTGCCACACAAAATTATCAAAAATTTGCTGAAATGAATTCTGTAATATTATGCGAACGGACTATCCGATTTGAACTAAACTTTTCACAATGTAATATTTTTACAAAGCCTGTATGTATATTGCTTGAAGATGGGACCTATCAGCGCATTCCTTCTAGTACCTCCCCACAAAGAGGAGAAAATTTCAAATTTTTACCAACTCTAATTCAACTTCAAAGAGAGAACCCATCGGTTCATTCTATCTGGGTAAACATTGTTAATATTTGTTAAACAAATAACAATTGTATGGATACAAAATATGCTAATCGTTATATTTCTTTCAAAACAAGTTCGACGATTGGATCCATCGTTCCACACCTTATGGGATCTCCCAAACAAAATGTTCAACATTTTGCTGAAATTTTTGCACTACGCAGTCTTCTCAAAAACTGCAACTGAGAAGTCATGGCATTTTATCATCCACCTACAATAAATTTTACTTAATTTTTATGAAAGGCAAATTAATATGTTTATTAAAATGTAAGCTATTGACACGAACAAGTGCCTTTAAAGTTATTATTGTAACCGGTTTTTAAATTTAACAGACGATTTGTCTGCTTCCAGTTCTTTTAATTCACTAGATTCATATTATTTTGGAATATGGAAATATTTCTTTGAAATACACTTGCTTAAATCAAATCGAAATTATATTTTTAATTCAATGTATATCAGGCAATAAAATTAATACCAGTTAAAGTCTCAGTAGTATGCCTTCGATTTTTATAAAATTTTAAAGACGTATATAATTTGTTATCAAGTGCAATCAATAATTGAGTTGAAAATGTCTTTCCATATACAAATATATATAATTCTGTTTGTTGTTAAGCGATTAACATCAAATACCCAGCATTCTCTTCATTTTTTGCACATGGCAACCCAACAGCAATCACTTAACAATACTTTGTAAAATTTTGTTATGATAAAGAAGGAGAAAAAGAAAAGACAAGTGGATTGTTTTTTTTGTAATTTCACGATATATGTTTATGATTTATTTTTAATATTTGGAAAAAAATAATTGTACATAGAGTTTGGTTTGATTCATGTTTTTTTGTTTGTTTTCAATTAAATACAACTTTTGTTTTGTTTTTGTATTATAACTATTGTTACAGACATAAATACATACAATTACATACAAATTATAATAATAATATTATATAATAAATCATTGTTCCTTTTTTATTATTATACAAATTATATATATAAAAAAATTGTTCACTTTTTTACAACAACAAAAAAGAGAATATAATCGAATAACTTAGAGTTTTTTTGTGTTGTATTATTGTTTGTTAATAATATTTTTTTTAATAAAATCTAAGAATTTTTTCTTGAAAAAAATTAAATCTTTACCAAAAAATATTATTAAAAAATTTATAAAACAAAATACAATATTAAAGCCAATTAATTTTTTAGGGTTGGGAATAAAAGAAAATTTACAAAAAAATATTGATCATTTACACAACAAGCTATTAGTTTTTTGTTTGTTTTGTTTTATTGAAAAAATAAAGAAATTTGATTTCTTTACTTTGTCTCTTCGCGTGTGTGTGTGTGTGTTTGATATCTTTTATTCCTCTTTTCAAAGACAACGTCAACGACTAAATTTTTTATAAAAACCTTTCTTTCATGACTAAAAATGTTACAAACTATGGCTATAACAAAATAACCATTTCACTTTCCCTTCACATGTTTTCTTTCGGAGAAAAATTTTAACAAATTTCAATTAACAAATTCCCACAATAATAAGAAAGTATAACTTGTCTTTTTTCAAGGGGGGAGAGGAAGAGAATTTCAAAATAAAATTTGTTGAAACTTTTCTCGATCGAAAACCAAAAACTAAAACACTTAAAAGTAAACAACAACATTTACATAGTACATATTGAACTCAGAGAATTGTGTTTTTCGTGTTGTCGATTGTGAATGTCAAATATGGAGCTTTAAATGACATTTGTAATAACTTTCAACAAACTTTAACTGCCATTACAGCTTTTCAACATTGATTGCTGTTCACAATCGACCATAAGGTAAGCGGTTTTTGGTGCAATATTGGTGCTTTACTCGTTTGCCTTAAATACAACTCTAAGAGGTGTTTACTTTTCTTGTTTTATTTTGCTTTAACTCTACTAAGCAGCAGCGATTCATGATCACAAAGAAGAAACACACAAAAGTATTAAAAAAACCCAAACAGCCTTAACTTTTTTATAAAAAAAAACCGAAAACAACAAAATTAAAAAAAAAAAAAAATAAGAAGTGAGGAATGCTATCGAGATTATTGTTTTTGTAATTAAAGACTAGCTTTTAAACGAACGAACGAATGTTTGTTGTAGTTGTTTCTGAGTGGTCGGTCGGTCAGTCTCAGTATTGTATAGTTTGAAAACCAAAATATGTATATGAGAAAAATGAATACAAAGGTAATGTTTTGAATTCATTTTTGTTTTAATGCATGCAAAATTAACATCACATTTGTATTTTGTATTTTGAGTTGGATTTCAAACAAGTTTAGCTGCTAAAAGTACGGTTATATTGTGGGTCGTTTTTTCCCTTTGAGGGAATGTGGGAAAGGTTTAGTTTTGTCTTCAAATAAACAGTAGATTTCATGTGTTAAAAAACACCTCCAAAAGGATAAACAATGTTCGCTATATCCGAATGTTGTCATAAACAAAAAATGATTTCATCATCAAATAATGAAATGATTTTGAGTTATGCAACTGCTAACCTTGACCTTGACATAGGCTCAAAAGCGTATTTCTTTCTTTCAACGTAAAGTCGGCGGTATTTTAAAAAAAACAAAAAATCTACTGTATTTACTAGTGTATTTTGAGTTTCTGATGTTTGTTGTTATAGAATTGTTTATTTTGTCTGATTGGTTTTTACTTTTAGCCCGCTTCTAATCCTCACTTACAAATTGTGAAGCTTTTGTTGCTGTTTTTTGAGGGTTTTTTCTTTCGTTTGCCGAAAAAATATCATCTACAATATATCTTCAACCTATATATTTTAAACTAACTATAAAATAATTATGATACTCTCCTAAACTTAAGATATTAATATCCAGTTTAGCGCTGCCGCTTTTCGGGCGGAAGTGCTCCTATTTTGTGTTTTTGTGTGTTTCCATGTATCTGTTTCGTTTTAGCATGCATTTTTTAAAAATGTACCATCTACTAAAAGAAAAACGTTAATATTTGAACTAAACTAGAACCATGAACCCCCTTGTGTGTATTTATTGGCGAAGTAATTAACCCAAACCCCGCATTTGTTTTTCTTTTGTTTCCATTTCTTAGGTTAGCTTAGTTAGTTGGTGTATGTGTTAGTGTGGTTCCCACGATGATTATGATGATGGTGATGTTTTACAGCCCTCAACCAAATCCTACACGCTACCACCAATATCACTTTGGTACCGTGCAGTCAAGTAGTTGGCGGCTTCTGTCATTTGTTCCAGGCACTGATACAAGCCATTCAAATGTCTTCGGCAGCGTTTGGCCAATTCGGTGGCTTTGTCAACATTGGCTGATTTCTTTTGTACATGACCATCTTCACTGCTGCTGCTGCTGTTGGCGTCGCTGCCGTTCTTATTGCTCTCCGATTCAACGCCAGAATCATTTTCATTGGAGATATCACTTTCCGAATCGCTCAATTGACTAACGGAGGCAATGGAGGCCATTGAAGCGGTTGAAGGGCGTCTGTTGTGGCCTTTAGACGAGGTGCTGTTGCTGGCATTGGCGGCGGCGGCGGCATTGCAAATATTTTCAGTCTTCGACGTTTCACTGATGTGCAAACAACTGTTCATTTGTTCATCCAAATCATCCTCAGAATCATCTTTGCCCGTCCACAAGAGGTCGTTTTTCAAAGCGTTCAAAACATTGTAGAGATTCGATAGCTCTGAAGAATGTAGGAATTCATGAACGTTTTTCGAGTTGACATTTTTGCGTTTGCCATTGGCATTTGGTAGAAGTGTGTGCTGGTTGGAGGTCACATCTTTGCCAGGAGTTGGTATAATATCAGTACTATCACCCACCTAATTAGAAACAGGGAAATAAATATGGAAATTTAGGTTAGAAAATTTAATTTATGGTGGGTTTTGTTTATTGATGAATGAGTAATGAATTTGTGAAGTGCAATAGAGGACAAGCAAGGTGATTGAATTCTATTGAGTCACATATGCAACAGCAATAATTTCACTTTGATAAGTGAAAATTAGAAATTATTTAGAAACTTAATTTTAAACCACATATGTATATAATACCATCATCAGATCATGAGAGTAATTTTTAAGAATAAAAACGTTTCTTGACTTTTGGGGGTCTCTGGTCTAGTTATTTCAAGTTGTTTTTGACTGAGAATACCCTACAATGGGCCAAGACTCTGGGCATGCTTTTGAACCAATTTGAAAACTATTTAATTGGGTAAAACTCAAATATTTTGAAATAGATCTCAATGCCTCTTATCAATTTTTGATTATTGTGAACTGGAATACATGAAATGTGTATGTGTGATATGATTTAGTACATTTCTGGAGTGTGAAAGTGTTGATATTTACCTGTCGGTCCATGAGCCTGCATGGAACTAATATTGTTTCATCCATGACATTAACCGTCTTCACAAACTTCTCCATAACATTGACAATACTGTCTTTTGAAAATTGTAGTTCATCATGACGGGCTATGCGGCGCAAACAGCTTCTGAAAAATGAAGAAAAATAAAAAATTAAAACATTGAAATAACAGATAAGACAATTTGGTATTTTGACAATTTAATTGCTACTCTTCTAGCATAATAAGATGAAGACAAATACAACATAATAAATATAAAAAATGATTTATGATATTCCATAAATAATATGAAGACAAGAAGCAGACGTCGTCTTTATGTCTGCCATGAGTTTGGAAAATACAAAAACAAAAAAGAAGAATCGTATTAGAAACTTCCGTGTTTATAAATCTATATATAATATCGTTAGAATCCAGAATTGAGAATTAAACGAATCATCATGACAATACATTATATGATTAACACCCAAAGAAGATGGAGAAAAAACTAGCTGATCAAAATAAGTTAGACAATAACAATTTAGAATCGTATGCCAGCATTCTAAGTAGTTAGCAGGTTTTTGTTTTTGGTACTTTTTTTGGCATAAAATTTAGTTAACACCAACAAACCTCCGTTTTGAATTCCAAAGTTTTGACCACCAAAATGCCAAACAGTTAACATTTTAAATGTATTTTGCATTTTTGAAAGGTGGAAGCGGGGCTGGGGGTTGGCTTAACGTGTTCATGATTTTTTATTGAGTTTTTGTGCTTGGTGGGTTTTGAATTTTAAATATTTTTTTGTTATTTGAAAAAACCAATGGCCAGTTTTCTTAATTTGTCAAAATATATAAAAACCTTGTTTTAAACGAGTAAACATATAATATACACATGCATGTGTATGTGAATGTGTGTTTTAAACTAAAACCCGTAGTTAATTAAATATGCCAATGGTGTTGTCTGATTTTTTTTTTCAAATAACCAAATATTAGACTCATCAATGTTCAAGAGCATAGTTGGGTTATTATAACAAAAGGGGGCTTGGTTTAAATATAGGGAGACACATACGACAAAACAGGAAAGTGGGGAGAGCGTGAGTGTGAGTGGGCAAATATCGACAATTTATTTCGTTTGTTTTAACTTAGTTGGAAAGAGGGTACAAATATTGAAAATGAAAACTTACAATACCACTCTCGCATATTGAATGAGTGAATGATGGCGCGAGACGACGACAACAACAATATTTAAGGGCCAAGTTCAAAACCACTTGATTCATTTCCCCAACCCCCAATTGGTTCCTTCCTTCTTCGCCTAAAGTGGGTGCGCTCTTGTCTCAACTCATTTTTTCAGCATTGCCTTAAAAAGCGATTGGCTTAAAGGTACACATAGCGACGAGCCGGCCTTTGTCTGTTCATTTTGTGGGTTGTAGTAACGCCACACTACAACTACAGCAACAAATAACCTTGGAAGGCGGAAGGAACATTGTACATATGATGACGCTTTACTGATGTAATTTTCTTGGCAATTGTTGGAAAGAAAAGACACAAGACAATATATGAGAAACAAACTAACAATGGGGAAAGTGCCACAATGAAGAGGTACAAAGACCTGTGACATAAGTAAACTAATTAGGGCTCAATTAAAAAAATAGATAAGAATGGAATAGTAAAAATATGAAATTCTGGAATAAATGGAATCCAGTGTATAATTAAAGATTTTGAGGAGAAAGGAAATCATAATAAACCAAAATCGGGAATATTTTGAATCAGTCATTGTCAAGGGTAATATATAAAGGAACAGTCTTGTTTGGTCCATGCCTTTTATTAATATTCGTAGTCTAAAATTCTTAGATTTTGATACTTCCTTAGTGGTTACATGCGATTTCATTTCCTTCTTTTAATTTAGTGATAATCAATTACATAATTGTACGTCCCCTCTCTCTCCCGATCTCTCATCTGTTTGTTTTAATTAAAAAATCTCTACACCCACAATCCATTTTCTCAGCTAAATAAACAAAACTATCTGCATAGATATATAAATAATTAATTTATGCCATATGGAAGATATATACAATGAATTATTGTGTTTGTAGACAAACACTTGTGGGATTTCGGATATAAAAAAAATAATAAAACAAATAAATGCAACACATTTCATTATGGCCTTATCGTTGTTAAAATAACAGTTATAACAGCTTAGGCGAGCTTATCGTTATGCCACGCAAATTTTTGAAATCAAAATCACCAGTCAAGAAACAGAACATTGCTTTATTTATATACATAGAGAATTTTTAGATTGTTATTTTGGTATCAAGTCTCATGCCACTTGTGTACTATTGGCCAAAAGCCAACGTATTTGGCCAATAAAATGCTATAACAATGGTTATCACCTGATGACTGTGTTTTATGATGATAAGTGATTTTTCAAAATTGAATTAAGATTACAAAGTGAAGTAGCCATATAAAAAATTAAGGGTTCTGACTAAAAAAATTCCCACTTTTAAGGGTACTTTTTTTCATAAGTAGATTAGATAATACATATTCTTCGGGGGGAAAATATATGTTTGTGTGTGGCTGACTATCTAGGAGGTAGTGCCTTGACACTTATTCTTTTATTTGGGTAAAATGCGCACAGATAAAGTGGGACAGGCGAGGGCATTACAAGACCGACAGACAGAACAGGCAGGCAAGCTGGCTGCTAGAGCATATCACAGCAATTGTTCTTGTTATTATTTCGGCGTGTGTCAGGCATATCTCTCTCGGCAGGGCAGCTCAATCAGAAGTTGACATTCATGCATACAGTCTGCCGACCAACTACTTCAAGTGGAATACTTGCTTGCTGTACACACTCACGTTCACATATATGGCACGCATTAACAACGTGATCGTCCGCCGTCGATCGCTCTTTTGTAAAGCATGTTTAAATATAATTTACACTTGGCCATACAACGTCTAGCCAGTCAGCCAGCAGAGCTCAATGATTTCGAACGATAATGACGTTGTAAACTATCCAATAAAAATTACGTTGTAGACATTTTCAAACAAAAAAATAAAAACTAAGATTTCCCTTTGAGAAGTGATTGCTTGTAGTTATTGCAGAAAGGAAATAAAAATAAGTGCCCTATTCAAGGGAGGTGGAGTGAGGTACAGCAATCACACATATACAAAAAGTCATATTGACATACACATTAATATTTAAATACTGTGTGATATTTACTTTCTATTGACAATTTATGACAACTTGACTTGGCTAATAAGTCGAACTAGACAGAGAATAGAATTACTATGATGAGGTAATCTTTATTGGCATCGGAAAATGCCATAATGCGACACAGAAGTTTTGGAGATACAAAAAATCACAATTTCACATATAATAATTACACATATTAAAGTCGGCAACTCTTCAATTATTTAATGTTAATTAAACTAAACGTTAAATAAAAACAATGGAATATTTATGCAAACGTTAATAATTACTTTTTTTTAAAAAAAGTTTGTATGTTATTGAAAATATGGAAAATATTCTAAGGGTAGAAAAACAAGTAAAATAGAGGTCGTTCACAATTGATTTTATTATTTTCATATAAATATCCAAAAAGTCCTCAATTAACCCAATTCTTACAACAAAAAGATTACAAATATGAAAAAGTTTGATAAAAGAGATTCTAAGCGTCTTGCTTTTATTTAATATTTAAGAGCTTCTAAGCGTTTTGCTTTTATTTAATTATCCCTTAACCAAAATATTATTTTAACCATTATTGTTTTGTTTTGTTTTGGAAAATGTTGGGTATATCTCTATAATTTCAAACATTTATTTCAAAACAAAACTGAAAAAAGATAACATTAATTATTACCAACATTGATTAGAGTCACACATAATTCATTTACTCATTCTGACGCACATTTTACGTCAATAAACAGAACAAATTGTCTGGTCTTGTTTGCATAGCTATTTGGATTAATATAAACACTAAAATTACACAGGACTACAAAATGTCAACTAAATGGAAATGTTCTACAAAAGTAAAATTTCAATAATTTCAAACTTATTTAAAAAGAAAGCGACAAAGAACAATATCTTCTTTCACGATCTCAAATTAACGCCTATGGGAATTTTATCTCATCAGCTATTAACAAAGAAATATTTCTATTTGACAACTTCCTCCTATGTTCACAATTGCTGCTATATTTAAATTAAGTGAGAACAGTAGACACAGGAACGTGATGAATAATAATCAAGACAATGAATGGATGGTTGGTTGGATTAAACATGATTTCCGTATAATAATTACTTTTCTCCAAATTGTTTTTAATTTTTTTTTATTCTAGAGAAATGATGTACAATAACAAGGTATGCAGCGGAATGCAATTGGCATAAAAACAAAAAATATTTCCTATTATGCTTAATATGGTTTTGAGGTTAGATAGCAGCTTAAAAAGGATTTATGAATTTATTTTTAAATTGTTTATTCATTAATTGAATAAAGAGTAAATACATTAAAAAAATGTATAACAAATTAAGATTAGCTTTCAATTTCATTACACAATGGCACAGGCGGCGCATTGTTGAATGATTTACAACAATTCCCACATTTATGATTTTATTGGGAGAAGCCCAGAATTTTCTTTGCTTTTCAGTAGGATCAGTGTTGGGAGGGAATGAATCAAAATTGCACTACTATTTTTAGTTGATACAACAACAATATACCTACAATTTATATAATTGCGTTTTAACAAAAGCCAGTCAGGCAGGCAGTCAGCCAGCCAAACAGACAGACAACAATGGTATGCAATTACTATGAATTGTGTATGCAAACTTTCATCATCATCATTTGAAAGCATCTCGAATAAAACTTAATCTAAGTCACTTTAAATCAATTAGAACCGGTCTAAGTGAAAATAAAATGCTTGTCTAAAATTCCAAATGTCTCTAGAAAGTGAGTGCATTCTGAAAATAAAACCACAAAGCTATTTAGTTGATTGACATTCATTCAGTCATCTTATCCCGCTTATTCCCGAGCTATTCATGCGCTTGTTCATTCATTTATTACGGCCACCATTGTGTTGTTCCCACCGTCGTATCGTATCATGGCACAGATGTGATCTCATGAAAAAACACGCCACATTTTTTGTTTCATTGCTTTTTTCTTGGTTTTTGGCATCATCATTAATGTCGCCTCATAATATTAACAACGTAAAACCATGAAACAAAAAATAAACTGAGAAACAGACCATAAGACGTCAGCTAATGCCACTGATGATGGTGATTGTGTGCCTGTGCTTGCCTGCCATATTTTGCAATAATTTTGTTTAAAGCTAAGATTAGAAAGAAAATGGGAACAGACAAAAATGTTATGGTTTTGACCACAACTTTAAATTTTATCTTTAAGAAATAACATCAATTATATACAGTTGTATTATGTATTATACAATACAGTCAAACAGTGTTATAATTAAATCAACAATTTTGATACAAATTATGAAAGTGGAAGTAATTTTGTATTTAATTAAGGTCTTTGAAAAGTTAGCCTATAGGAATTTTTAAAATTAGGTCGCAACAATTATGAATAATTAGTAAATTTTTGACTCAATTTTCTTTAAAAAGGTATATCAATATTATATTAGCCTAAAAAACAAGGACATTTTTAGATATAATTTCAAATCATATATGAGTCTGTATGCTGTACCATGGACTTGGTATTGATAATGGTTTGTTTCTCTAGTAAACAATAATTTTCTGGTATGAAATCGGTAGTCATATATCTCTCGGAAATTTTCAGGAGTCATTTAATATTCATCGAAGTCAGTGTGTTCTGCTAATTCTTCACTTTGTGAGCCGGTATATTGAATTGCCACCATTCTGTAATAGCAAATAATAGACATTTAAAATAATAATTATATTATTTTTAAAACATTTACCTTTTTAAAGAAATGTTTCCATTGGGTACTCACATCTATTATAAATTATGGACGTCAGATAAATTAATCTATTAAACTATTGCAAATTTACTTTAAATTATTTTTCCCATTTCCAATGATATTCTATCCTCATATTACTTCTTGAAATGATTAAAAATTGTATTTCATTATAACACCGTTTGACTGTAATCACAATATAAAAAGTTTATTGACTAATTTGAGAGGAGGAAAAAACCGGTAATCTCTAGCTCTCTCCATCTTGCGAAATGTCAAAATATGCCCGAGAGTTGCCACACTCAGTGATATATCCAAAACAAAACATAGTATGAGGAGAACAACTGAAATTTGGCAGCTGTTCAAAATGGCACATGCGCTATTCCAAGCAGGAATACAACATGAAAATCGGCTGATTTTAAGGTGGGTTTTTTGTGTGGCACGAGGCATGGCAGAACATCCACCACACAACAAACACAAGGTGGTATATTTGGCAAAAACAAACATTTAAAGGCCACAGCAAAAAAAAAGACACCAACAGTGGAACTGAAAATGGGGTGGTTTCTATTTTGTTTTTGTTATTGGGTGGTGGTTGACCTGATTTTATTTCAACATCATGCCATACCATGCCACCACCACCATTACAGATAGTGCAGACTCTTGTTTGACGTCGTTTGGCTGGCTTTGCCCATGTACAGTAGTAGTCGTAGTAAACGTCGTCGTGTCGTACGAGCACGAATAATCAAACACAATTATTAGAAACGTCATTATGGCAAACATGATCATTACCATCTATCCCATCCCAAACAAAACAAAAAAGAAATACAACGTAAACGTATCGTATGATTATGTTGTGTTGTCTGAATTTGATTGTGAAACATAAACAATAACAAACGCATCATTTCTCCCTTCCTCTCAAACACAACCATCTTGTTTAGGAGAGTGAAAAAATGAGATGAAGGTTTTCTTCTTCTGTTTATTTATGAAGTATGTTGATGATGCCCAGCAAACAAACTGAACTGTTGTTGTTAAGGAGGAATGTAAAAATATTTCATATTTATATTAGCTGGTGTCCAGCATCACAATCATCTCTATGGCAACAATCAAATTAAAAAAATAATTACGATTATTATCAACAACACCTTGGGAGGTCTGGGTTGTTATTATTTTTCAATAAATATGTCATAAAAATTATTTTTGTATTGCACAAATATTTTTGTTATGATGTAAAATATTCCTATTAAAAGTAATAATGTCCCTCCATCTCAACAAGATTATCTTTTGAATGTGTTTTTCGTATTTTTTTTTTTTTTTGCAAATTATGCATTATTGATAGTTTTTGTCATGACAAAAAACAAAAACATGATGACTAAGCCAGTATATTTTAGCACACATATATGTAAAATAGTTGACGTTTTTTCCCAAAAACAACAACGAAAAATATTGACTCTGTATGTAGTCTTTAGTATCTTCACACCCGCCGATTTTAGTTTCTTTATTTTTTGTCGTTTAGTGTTGTAGTTTTGCCATTCCCATGATAATGACATTGACATGATTGTGAATTTCTTATCGTTTTCTATGAGTAATAACTGTTTAACTAATTACCAAATAAATAATAATTCTACCCCTTTTCTTCTAATCAGTTAATAGGGGAAATCACTTGTCTGTGTTTGTTTCTGTATAGAAACCAAAAAAGGACAATTACAGTGTAAAAAAGAGTGACACATCCGTCAATAACAACAAATACATATTTATGACTGATAATATTCTGGAAAACACTATCATTGTAATATAAAAATAAACTCTGGTTATAAAAATGTTGATAACGATTTTTCGTTGCTGGGTTTTTAGAGGTGCTAATTTTATCTTCTACAATACCCATCAAAAGTCTGGGACCTAATCCGGTATTATAAAATAAAATTATTTATGAAAAATAGCTGTCTATTATTATTTAAACGGAGAAGCCAATAATTTCAAAAATAATAACATTATATCATTCAAACATTTTAAATCTGCCCAAGTTCTTTTACAAAATACCTCTACACACAGATACATATATTTTATTTTTTTTTTGCTACACGAAAAGTATTGGTTTTTTTATTGTGGAATGTCCGACAATTGTTGTTCTAATATTTTTTATTGCCAATTTCGGTAAATTTGGGTACGATAAAGGTATTTCTATTAAAATCAACTCTTTTTTAAATTCTCTTCACATTTTTTTGTTCAACAATTTTAATTACCCACAAAAATTCCATAGCATTGAAGAAGATCATAAATCAGCAGATCATTATCCCAGCAAACATTCCCTGCTTTCTACACCTAAACACCAACAAAAATGAAACACAAAACATCCCAAACAAAAAAAGATACATAAAACATTCGAGTGGCTGGCTTTGCATCAAAATTTCTATTCCCTTGGCCTCTACTGTACCAAGTCAAATGAACCAATCAACCAATAATACCAACCGGCACGGCTCGTGGTGTAGTCGTCATCATCATAACAGAGTCACTTTAGCAAACATTTCAATACACACAACAATCCGAATGCGGGTGGCGTGAGTTTAATAATGATTTTGCAAATGAAAATAGACGACAAATATATATTTGAATTTATATAAACAAAAAGGGGGACAATTCTTTGCCCCTTAACCTGCCGCTTAATGGGGGTTTTCATTTTTTATTCGTCAATTCTAGAAAAAAAGTCATATGCACATAATTCACTTTTATTTGCCAAGGGGAAAGGGTATTGGCCATTATCTGTGTGGTGACGTCGTTCGTTTATTCTGTCATAATTGATTCTATGAATCAGTGCCTAGCTAGAATTTACATGAATTCCTAAACCTCACATTCATTATCAGAGGAGGAGGAGGCTGGCGGCTTCTAGCAATAGTATCCCAAAGATCAAGTGTGAGAATTGAATGCTCCGCTAGCTAGTGACAAACTCTGAAGACGATTGTGTCATTCATATATCAATGATTAGCTATAACTGCTGCAGCTACAAATAAATGTCTGTCTATTTCTACTCCTCAGTCATTGAAAAAAACGCCAGTTGAATTTTACTGGGTAGTTTGCCGACAACCAACGTCAGCTGCTTGGTGTATTTGCCAGATACATGTATGTGTGAATATGTGTTCATCAATCCACTTTACTCCCCTCGCTCCGTATCGTACGATATTTTCTTTAGTGGTGAATACAACAATTTTTTCTGTTGTATCGAACAGATGACGGTGATTTTATGTGGGCATATGGGGAAGGGAGGGTAGTAGCTGGGTAGTGGGGAACTATAGGTGGTACTTCATTAACAGAAAAAAAAAAATGGAATTCAGAAGATAGGTTGGAGCATTTTTTTAGTTAAACTTTTATAAAATACTATTGGGGGAAAATGCCTTGGAATGTGTCAGTGTGTTTGTGTACAATCAGAGTCAAATGGACAGGTGTAGTAGTAACTACACTACTAGTCCATTGACAGTCAGCATGAGAGGGGGGCCTAAAAGTTAGGTTACTGGTTGTGTTTAGCTTTGAAGCCGCTTGAATGTGTGGCAGTAAGCTAAGCTGTTGATTTTACAATAAATATTTTTTGTTAATAAAATTAAAAACTCACACACATGCAAACACTCGAATACCCCTCCCTAAATCATTTAAAGGCCACATAAAAGAGAAAATTTAAAATATTTAAGACATTTTTGGTATTGAACCATTTGAACAGAAAAAAAAACTATTTTGGATTATTCAATATCCAAATTTGACATTGTAATCATTCGATTTTTCTTGATTTTCCAAACATCATCACACACACTTGTCTTCATAGAATACCCCGCCCTTATGCTGCTGCTGCCACAACCGCTGTCCAAAACTTACCGTGTATCCAATTTGGTTATATCTGTGTATCCATTCATTTTGCTGGTAATTTTGTGAGCTTCTTGGCTTTTTGGTTATAAAAATAATGATTTTTTTATTTTATTTTTTGGTAGGCACCTGTTTTGAGGTCAGTCTAATCTTTTTCTTTTCTGTGTACTTTTAAAGCGTTCCTTTAAATTAATATATTTTTCTTCACTTTCACTTTTTTTGAGAATATTTTTGGTATTGAAAATTGCTTCAGGTTTCTTTTTAATTTGTTTCTTCTTCTTTGGGATTACGAAATCTTTTTCTCAAATTGCTTGTTTTGTTTGAAAAAGGAATATCCATTAACTTGTGTGTAATTTTGGTATTTTGTTATTCTTCAACGCCCCTCTCTACGTGTGCATTACGTGTTTTTGTTTCGTTATAACCGATTTCAGAATTATTTATTTTCTGTTGCCGATGTAATGTTTGGTATTTTTATTATTTCTGATTTATTTATTTGCAAGTAGTAAGCTGCTGTTCTTGTGTGTTTATTTTTGCTTCAAAATAATTTTGTGCTGTTCTTGCCACTACCACGGTTCACGGTTTACTAATATTTGCGCTAATTTTTATTTTATTATATATATATCAAACATGGACTGAAGAAAAAATGAAAAACGTTCCACCTGCTAACGAATGGGAAGAGAAGACAAACATGAATTGAAGACAAATGAAAAGCGTTCCACCTGCTAACGAATGGGAAGAGAAGACAAACATGAACTGAAGAAAAAATGAAAAACGTTCCACCTGCTAACGAATGAGAAGAGAAGACAAAATGGCCGATAAAGAAGAGCTCAAAGTGGTATAAGAGAAAGTTTACGAATGAGGTGGGAGAGAGACTACCGTGTTGTTTACGAATGAGGTCTTGGCAAATTATGATTAGGGATAAGTAAATCGACTTTTTACTAATCGATAATATGAATTATAAACAACGACATACAAATCGATTGAGTTCATAGTCATCGAATATAATTGAAAAAAAAAAACCGAATATGTTCCAAACCAGAACCTTCCAGAATATAATATTAATCAACATAGTGTTTTTTTAATACACGAACTTAATTGTTTTCCATTGTAAACATCTATTTTCTATTTTTAAATATATTTAATGGCTGTCATTGACTACATTGACAGTCGATATCGTCCGCGTGGGTCATTTGTCATTAAAGCCAGAATCCGTTACAATCGATTACTTACACATCGTAACCACATATCGATATTCAAATGTTAGATTAGTTCTTAGCGTAACGTACATATGATGCCAAACACAAAACTAAGGGAACTAATGCGAACCAGAGATCCGAAACTATAGTCTATATAGTCGTTACCCTTGAAGGAACTACAACACAAATAGCAGTGTTTAGGTAAAGTTCTACTAAAGTATGTTGTTTATTTGATATAAAGGGTAATCTATTTCAAGGTTTGGTCCGCAGAGGAGATTGGACTTTACTTCTTCGAAAACGACGATGGAGTGACTAATACCGTTAACTCGGAGCATTATGATCATATGATAACCGACTTTTTTGTCTTCTATTGATGAATCTTGCCTGCCAAACAACTTGAACGAATATGACTTTATTGTATGAGACATTTCGTGGCTGCGCAAATTTTCGTTGTGGCGATATCAAATGGCAACCAAGATCATGCGATTTGACATTTGTCATTTTTATGGAGCTACACGATAGACCGTGTTTATGCATAGAACCCTTCAACTCTTGAGCACTTAAAAACCAACATTGGTTATTGGGCATTCAAACTATAAAATATATTTTATATCATGAAAATAATTATTTTATATTTTTATATCAAATTTCGATGCCCATTTTAAAAATTGAAAATAATACAAATTTATAAGAATGATTTAATTTTTTCGAAATATTTTTTTTATTTTGTTTCAAATAGCAATCATGTGTTTGTTTGTGGTTGTTCTTGAACTGTGTCGGTTGTTGTTGTTTTTGCTTATGCAATAATATAATTAATATATTTTCGGAAATTCATTTGGTTTTCATTTCATTTTTTTATTTTCTTGTTTTCATTCTTGAATCAATAAAATTGGATCTGTGGTTTCAATTGGATTGGTTAATAGTAACGGGAAGAAAAATATTAATATTTAAGATTAGAATTTTTTGTTTTGGTATGGGATGTTGTTTGATTGAGTATCATGAAAAATCGTTATTTTGTTTAGTGAGAACAATTAAAAAATATGTAATATTATTTCATATACATATTTATTTTTCGGGAATAGGATTCTCAAATATTTGATTTGGTTGTTATTCGGTTTGGTTATTTTTGCAAATATTTTCAATATTGAAACCATTTTGGAAAAACACAATACAAGTTTGGTTTGTTTCTTTATTTGTTAGTTATTGAATATATTCTTTTTATTAAAACGTAATGGAAACAGAAAGAGAAAATAAATTTAATAAAACAATTATTTATATTTTTCTTTTTATTATTAATTTAAAATTGTTGATATTCTCTGTTGTGTTTTTTGTTTTGTTTACTTCAATATATTTATTATTTTCTTAATTCTTGCCTAACTACAAAATATTTTGTTCTTATTTTGGGAAAAATTATGGAATATTTAATAAAAAATAAAACATGTTTTTGGTTTTAATTTTATTTTTGCATTGCGTGTTTTGTTGATTTTGATTTGGCTAGAGGAAAAGGAAAAATTAGTGTTGGTTTTATTTTCGATGTTGTGTTTAGATTTTTTTTTTGTATTTCATTTATTTGACTTTTTGATTTTTAGGAAGCATTTTCAAAGTGATTTTGAGTTGAAAATCCAAAATAAAAAATACACAATGTTCAAGAAATAAAAATACACAAATATATTTACTGTATAATAATTGTAAATAGTATTAAATAATAAAGGTTTGCGATATTTGTTTGTGGGTAAACGTTATCAAGTATTAAATTATTTTTCCACTAGACAATGTTACAGCAAAACAGAAAACTTATAAAGTGATCCAGGTCCAAAGATAAAATGTGAGGATATATATTGATAACAACATGTAAGAAATATACCTTATTTGGAGTAGTTTAGGTGGTTTTCTGAAATACTCTAAATCACTTTGTAAGTTTTTTGTTTGTTTTTTGCTTCTGTCATTTCGTTAATATTATTTATTGTTTTAATATTTGCTTATTTTTGTGGGAAAGGAGGGAGTCTATAGGAGGATTAAGTTTTGAAGCTTGTTCTTAGATTCATTTATCAGTATTTTTTCTTTTGTTTCTTATTAAAAAATTATATAATTATTTTTTGTTTTTTGTTTTAATATTTTCTTTAAAGTTGTAATAATATATTTATATATATGTTAACATTGCATTTACTTTAACTTCTCTTTATAATAAAAAAATGTTGAAATAATTTTTTGTTTCCATTAAATTTGGAAATACCTTCTCCTATTATATTGAGGGCTAAGTCTATTAACGCACCCTCTGCTAACATGGCTAGCATACTATTTTCCATTCTAAGCCAAGAAGCTAAGGATTACTTTTGTTGTTGTGTCAACCAGCCATTCATTTGCATTATCTTTGTTTCTCTAATAATAATCTTTATAAAAGTTGTATTTGTTTTTTTTACCATTTCCAGTTAATTTTCTCCTTTAAGTATAAGCTTGTATCTTAAATATTCTTATTATTTTATTTTGTTATTAGTTAATATTGTTCTTCATCGTCATTTGTGTTTGGTTTTTGTTTGTTTTTAATATCAAATATGAAGTATAAATATTTAAATACGATCGAAAAACGTAGAGAGTTAGAAGTAGATTGAGAGAGAGAGATAGAGTTTGTTGGGTGGATAATAGTTGGAAGAGAGTGTGTCAAACACAAGGAATTGTTTGTGGTTTTTGGTTTTTGGCTTGAGAGACAGAGAAGGGAAATTACAAACAGACAGACAGTTAAATAATATAACGGTTTTTTTATTTTGTTTTACTGTAGTCGAATAATTAATTTGTATTTATTTTATTTATTAATTGATTTGTATATAATTAAAAAATCATTCATTTTCACAATATTTTCCATTTTTTGTTTGTTTGTTTGTAGAGAACAAATACATATTTATGGTTTTGCGCTGTGTTTATTTTCTTTTTGTTTTTAATTATCGCTGCTTATTACCTTAGTTTTAGAATGAATAAATTGCAATTCAATTTTGTTGTTGTTTTAAAATATATATTTATAAGAACTTTGTTGCTTTTTTTGTTTAATAATAATAGTAATTTTATATGTATATATTTAGTATTTTTTATATTTTGGTTTTTCATCATACAGTATAAATTTATATTCATTTTATCACTTAATATATTTCTTTTTTGTTTTGTTTAGAAGAGATGAGAAAAAATTGCTTTATGAGTGAGAGTAGTTTCAATATTTATATTTTATGGAGAGTTTTTTAGAATCATTATCCATATTGAATTAAAAAAAGAAAAAAACTGAAATAAATCAGAAAAATAATAATTCAAGGTTAATTATAAGTAGATCTGATGCAATATTTGCATAAAAGAAAACTTTTGATGAATACAGAGAGAGAGAGAGCCTCCTTTTTCAAGTCAAATTCCAAAGCCATCCTGTCGAAATTTAAATCTTGGTTACCATGTATTTTGGCCTTTAAAAATTTATGTTCTAATTTATTTTGTTTAGACCAGCCATTATCACGACGATGTTCATTAAAAATACTCCCAAAACTCATATTAAGTCTTCAATCAGGAATTGCATTCTAGTCAATCAAATATAGTAAGCCCAGGAACTGTCCTGATACAATCTCGAAGCTTGACAGATTGGTACAAAATTGCCAATTGCATTAAGAGTCTTGTTGAAGACGGGCAATAATTTTCTAGTCAGTGCTAAATCATATATAACTCCAGAAGACTAGTAGAGACATTTGACCAATGAGACTTTTTATGGTCTATGTGGGGTATTTATATTGTTTTATTAACCCAACATGTTTAGTCTTTTTTGTACATCCGGTTTCAAATTCAGTACTATTTTAATATATTTCAATGATCTGATCTAATTTTCATAGACCTAATAAATAAATAAGCCAAGTGAAACCAAATAATCTCACCCAGGAGGACTCTACAGATTTATAAGCATCTTCACTATTACAAAATATAAAGTTTATGTATATAATATAAAAATCAATTACATTAATTTTTTGTTTTTTTTATTACTCCCCTATAATTGTAGCGATTAATATTTTTAACTTTTTTATTTAAAAAAAATAAACAATTCAAATTTAAACCAACAAATTATGCCAATTTAATAGACAATTAAAGAATTTAAATATTAAAAAAGTGTTATACAACTTATACTTATATGAATTGCAAAAATGTATGATAAAATATTATGTTAGACTAGAAACAATGTTAACTTTAATTTGTTGTTGTTTTGCTAGAAACACATTCATCCACCACAGCAGGAAATTGAACATCCTTAGAGAAATTTCCATATACGAAGCTATCACTACTGGTAATCTGTTTCTTGCTTAATTTATCATCAGATTCAATAAAGACTTAAGTAATAGTTTACCATTTTTGTTTTTAATTATTTAATTTAAATATATTATTTAATTTAAATATATATAACTCATTGTTAATATTGGAAATAACAGGAGAAAACACAGTGTTTTATTTAATTAAACAGATAAACGGACTTTGTGAAAGTAAAATGACAGTTGACAGCAGTAATATTTTAGGTGGAGGGAGTTGAGATTTCATTATATGACTTTTGGAAGTATTTCGAAAATAAAAACGAGAGTAGAAAAAAAATATTCTTATTAACCATATTTAACAAGGCATCAGTCTTTTGAGCGGTTAAATTTACCATCACTGGATTATTTATATTTCTTGTTCACTACACAATTCTATATTTCGGGTTTCTAGGGAAGCGGTTTTCTGGCGGCGAAAATAAACTGAAGGCGGAAAAGATCAATAAGGGCATTCGATTCTTTTTGAAATCGTTGCCATATATGCATCTAAAATACAAACTTATTGGCCTTCCACATCCTTACTATAAGCTACTATTTAAAAATTAACAACATAAAATAAAATCATAACAAAGGTATGTAAATTGTTTGTTGATCTAGTGCATTCACAACAACTACTTTTTTTGACCACTACTTTCAGTCTCATATTGTAAACAAACATTTGTTTTCTTTTTTTAAGGTTAATGTATAAAAAAGAATTTTTTTATAGTATAAATTAGAAAATTAGAAAAATAATTTTAGTCCGTTTTCTGTTTAATTTGATATTATAGTTTTGTTAAGAACAAATAACAAGAGATTTTGGAAGGGGTTTATTTTTTTAGAAAAAAATGCATAAGTGCGAGTATTTTTTATATAAGAAAAAGAGTAAATTATAAATTGTTTATAAATACATATATAAATAATTGATATTCGGGGGGTTTGCATTTACAAAGTAATAATAATTGTACATTAAATGTTTTTCGTTAATTTGTATATTAATTTGCGAATTAAAGTATGGTATATATATATGATGTTACCCAGAAATTGTATGTATATATAAATATTTTTTGAAAGCATGGACATTGTGAAAAAATTTATTATATAAAAAATATATGATTATTTTATGAAATTTTGTGGATTTGTAATATGGTGCCTGTACGTTTTATATGGCTTTTATTTTTTAAAATTTCATGAAATCCGATCATATCCGAAATATGTTAAAACCTAAAATTATACCTATACACACGTGTAGTGGCCTCCAATAGAAGATAAGAGCAGTGCGTTATTGTCCTGCTGAAGGCAATAAGATATAATAATTAAAACAAATGCGACATGTTTAGGATGAGCCATCGATGTAGCCAAGAAATATAAAAATTACAGATCCAAAAATTCACCTTCGATCAGCCTTTACTTCATATATGTTTTTATAAAAGAATTTTGTTTTATAAAAGTCGTATCGGATACAAAAGACCAAACGATGTGGTCATATATGATCTCTAGCAGCAAATATGGACTTATCACTTATTTCGCCAAAATGTGAGCCTATTTATATTTTATTAAGTAATAACTAGATATGAAATAAATCCCTGGGTATGTAGTCAAATCTGAATTGCTAAAATTATTGATAATTTCTGAACAATAAAAAATCCCCTGGTATATTACGAGGATGGATCTGGGGACAAGGTGAAATTTCTGGTTATAATCCAAATAAAGGACTGAGCTTTTTGGAGATTTAAGATAACGTCCTTATAATGATATCGACTTGATCTAATTAGATCCCAACGGATACACACTTAAACATAAAGTTTACTTCAAAAGCTACTTGTTTTCATTCTTTTTTCAAACTTCGTTAATCCCCCTCTATTCCCAACAGCTTACTAGGATAATAAAAGTTTCTTGGTCAGCACTTTAGAAATTCTGAAAGAACATTTACCAGCTCTATTGGATAATTTATGATGTCAACAAAGAGTTAAACTTTCAACACATGTCTCAAATTCGAGTATAGTTGTTTTGTTGTTGTTGTAGCTGCTGGTGTTTTCGAAGAAAACTAAAACTGGTGAAAAGTTGCAAGCAAGCAACAAACTGGCATGCATGACATGTTGCATTTAACCATCAAGAGGCCAATTTCCTGTGAAAATAATTTAAAATGACGTGCATTGTCGTCCTGCTTTGATGGCACATCATGTAGCCGCACAAACCAGTAGTGGCTTATAAACTATATCCATACAAAGTCACACAAAAACACACACACACAACTGAATAAAGTATTTTTCATAAATAAATAATAATTTGTGTTGGCTGTTTCTTGTTATTGTTACAAAAACAGATAGCAAACGAATAAATGTAAAAACACTTAATAATAGATTCATTCTTTTGGATGGGGACAGGGCACCAAAGATGTGGATTATGTGCTAATATATGTTGTTGGTTTGGGCGGGTTATATTAAGTGGAATTTATTTTCTTAAAAAAACCAAGCCATATTATTATAAAATATAATAAAAAAATTGTGTTAATAAATATAAATTGTTCAAAAAAAGTTTTTATTTAATTTTACATTTGTCACGAGCTTAAAAATGTTTGCTTAAGAAATTGTTTGTTTTTGTCACTGTATATAAGTTTGTTTTTCTTATGTTTTTTTTTTTTTAATTTCTTTATATATAAAGTGCTGTAGTCTTTTTAATTTTTAATCCACGTTTTCTTCTTCTTTATCTTCTTTTGAATGTTGTTAATTTATCTTAACATGTCTTTATTTGTTAATTATGTTCATTTGAAAATTATAATTAAATTTATTTATTTTTTATTTATTAAGTAGTATTAAAAAATAACTTAATTAATTTTAGTTATTTGTATTTTTCCTCTTTGCTTTGTTTGTAACCCAAAAAATAATTAATTAATTAATTACCCATTAAACATAGCCGATGATGGATGATATTATTTGTTGTTTTGCTGGGCCACAGCATTGGGTGATTTATAAAAGTTTTGCACAAACTCAGATAGGCTGTAAACCGTACCAGGACCTTTGCCAGGACTCATGCATATGAAATCGCCAAGGGTGTGGGCATTGCCTACAAAAAAAAAAAAAAAAAAAAAAAACAAACCAAACCAAACCAGAAATCAATAATGAATTAAAGAGTGGGAGAAAGGGCGAGAGATGTCAAGTCAACTATCGCCTAACAGTAGTACTCACTGCACGATTGTATGGGCGGATATGAGGGTGGTGGCTTTATCCAGCTACCATCTGGCCTTCTCATATGCCTACGATCCGAGGAGAATTCCGCAAGATATGTTTCAGCAGGTATTACACGAAAGAATCTATTAAAGCGACATAGAGAGGGATGGAGAGAGATAAATGAGACAATTAAAATTAGCTGTGTAATTTACGTGATATTGTTTGTGTGTGTGTATTGTAATTACCTGTGATGTTCTGGTCTTAAAGCTAAATCGGAACGAAACGTTTCTGTCACATATTTGTGAAAATATGTGGGAAATGGTAGCGTTGTATCTAAATCGAATACCAAACATCTATTCGGACTGGGATTGTGCATGAAGAAAACATGATAGTCCTTGAAAAGAAAAAAGTAAATGGATTTTTATTTTTTTTTATCGGAAGGAGTTAAAAAATACAAAAATATGGTTTATTAGGAATGTTCGGGGAATTTTAATGGCATGGAATTCGGTGGTGAATGTTATAAGCAACTCTGTTGAGTTCTTAGGAGAGATAGGTAATGAGAATGGAATAGAGTAAAAAATTCGAAAGTTAATAGTATTCTCTTTTGATTTCGAGAATACCACCCATGAGATTTTGAAATGAATAATGCTGACAATAACACCTGTAAGAAGCGTAGCGACTAGCAAATCAGGATCTTTGCCGACAGTATGATGAGGGAACTCACTCAATTGCTTAAGGCTTGACATTTCAATTCTTCATAAGCCTTATGGCAACCATCGAAATTTGTGCTGGTACACCTTCAGTTGGTAGGGCTCTTATATGACGCAATTTATCGCAGATACCTGAGGCCGGAGGATTCAAAAAGGACAGGGTCATTTATATGGAGAACGTCCACAGCAGTTTTTTTTACGATTTGTTTTAATTAAAGTCTAGCTCAACCGAGATATGGCTGTGCTGTACTTTACTCATCTTTGATTATTGTGAACCCTTTTCAAAAGATACGTCGATTCATAGTCTATAATTTCTTTCACATGTGGTGAAAGCGGTTTCAGAAAACCGGACAAACGCGTGTCAAGAATACATAACATACATGTAACAGTTTAGTTCGCATCCCCTGGTCGAACCAGAATGATACATTGTAATATCATAGTTTTGGTGGTGGTCCGTAACCACTGAAGAACTCACTAATGGAAGTGTAGAAGGTTCTATTCCCCTCCGTTCTTCTAAGATTACATTCTGCCCATAATGTTCCTCCACAAATATTTTTAAAGTTTAAATTTCCCTGGCCATTAAGTAAGTAACACAGTCTCAGTCACCCGCCACCCTTCCACCACCGATCGCTTGATTTGTCACCGTTCTAAGTTTCGACATGACCATTGATGCCTGTCACTTCAATTAAATAGTGTTGCGATACTTAAGTGCCTCTGTTTTGTTGGGAAAACACCTGTGACCAAGAGGAGCATTCCGTGGTGGTGGAGGTGGTATTGGTGGCGGTGACATGAAAATCCACTGTTGTCTACATACCGGACATGCCGGCTATTTGTGGATGTGGCGACGGATTGGTAAGACTGGGTGGCCATAATGGCCACGCATGGGCTAGAGAATCGACAACACAACAACAATACTTGTATACATGTAAGTGTCGTTCGTTGTTGTTCTTGTGTTTGTGTTTTTTTTTTCTTACAATGCGTGTTAATTGCGCTTTTTTCGCTGTAAATGCGTTGGTCATATTTACTATTCGTTGGGTATTGTTTTTGTTGTTGCTGGTCATGCATAAAGTTTTTAAGCCATTGCCGAAGGCCCATTCTCCTTGGGCAGCTCTAACAATTTTATTCGCAATAAAAAAAATAAGCAAACAAACAAAAAATAAAAAAAAACGACATAACAAGTGTGCGTGTTTGCGAACATTATTACAGGTTCCCTGGGCCCTAGAGGGTCCTATTAAGCATGTTCCTCGAGGGGGTACTCACACGAAATGAAACGAAACAAAATGTTGTAGTAAATAATTTTTAGTTAAGTAAAAGCAGCAGTAAAACATTAGAACAATGAGAAAATTATCATAAATAAAATACAAAACAACAACAACAAAAACAACAACGGCGACGATGATGACGACGACGAGTAAAATGCAGATTTGAATGTAAAACGAAATTAAAAACAAAATGAATTCACTTGGGTCCCAGTGGCAGCACAGCACAGTAGTCAGTCGTCAACGACGACGACGATGATGATGGTGCCTTGTGCATGTCCTGACTGACTGGACGTGAGGGTGTAAAATGGATTAAGTTTGTACGAGGGGCTACTTTCCGTCAAAAGGAGGAGGAGGAGGAGGAAAAGGACGGAAAGTGGGTTGAAAACTATATAAAAACGCAACACTTACCCATATCACAACTTGGTCATCGCCACGTCCTGCTTTCTGGCGCCACAGCGGTACAGTGCGACCCTCATTTGATACAAACACGGCATAGCATTTCGAGAGTTCATCGATACGTGTTTTCTTTACTTGTTCACAAAGCTTCCAAACGTTCTCTTCGCTGCAATGAAACATAAAAACAGACCGAAAAAAGAGGAGGATGAGAACACGAAAAAATGAAATATTATCGTAGAATAGCAACATCGAAAAACACACACAGAGCAAGAAAAAAGGAAAATCCACTGACTAAGACTGAAAGTTGCAACAAACATAACGTTGAGACAGGCACACACACACACTCACAAAAGTAACAACTGAAGAAAGCATGAGAATGAAACTAGAATTTTTTAAAATGCATTTTATGTGTTCGAACCATGGAACTATGGAGAAACTTGTTCCATCATATTATTATTATATATGCACGTCCATGTTCATTTCTGTAAATAAATGTATATATATGTACATATATATTTTTTTGAATATATTTATAATAATTACAACAAGGACAATTGCAAAAATCGTGGCAGAATAAAATATTGTTTTGAATTTTAAATGAAATATGAATTTCAAATGCATAAAGTAATTTTCTAAGAATGTTTTATTGGACATGCACGGTGACGAAGGAGAACACTTTGATTAACTAGACTCCAAGAAAAAAGGGTAGGGTTTTAAAAATGGGATTTATTTTTATTTTAAACAATATTTATTGTTCTTTAGTTACTCTAGCAAATGTTGACCCATTTTTCGTTCCATTTTTGAGTTTCATGGGCCGACGTAGCAAAAATTTTGTATTACATTCTTGGTGTGTCAAAATATTCTTTACAGAACAAAAAAAGTGTGCTTTTTGACATATATAAATGCCTCATTTTAGGTATTTTTGCGCTCCTTTGCGAATTTCCAACCGAAAAGGGGGTTTGGAGCTATCGATGGATAAAAACTTTTCTCAGCAAATGCTTCAATATAGTCCCATAATTTCAACTGCAATTTTATTCGTCCAGAGCAGTGCTCTTCATATTATTATTATCTGGGTAGAAAGCTCATGACAGGTATATTTGATCTCCTAATGTATATGTGCGCTCGTTTTCATTAAAATCTAGCTCAATCGAGATTTGCCAAAGAATGAAGAGCATGCACCCCATGTAATAGTATTTGAGTTCAAATTCAGAGGTTGAAGAAACCGATCCAATCCTAAATTAAAATTTTCATTCCTATAAATTTTGGATCCATTGTGATATCCGTTTTAACCAGTGGGTTTTAAACTCCCTCGCAGAATATTTGCAAAAGTAGACCATATTTGAACAAAACCTCTAAGAAAAGGCCGTTTTTCATGTATTTTGGTGGTCCTGGAAAATTTCCTACCGAAATGGCATTCCGGGTTATTGATGAAAAAAAACTAGCTTAAAAATTTTTTTCAATATAGTCCCATGATAAAATGTTATGTTGAAGGTCGCTACTGAATATTCCAACATAAGTTGTAATATGATATTTCATCTTCTCGAAAGATTGTTTTGACATAGCCCCCACATAACACTCCGGTTTAATATTTAAAACCGTCATGGTTGGCGTATGATGTATGCTTCAACATCTCGTCAGTACTTATACGCCACGGTATACCAATATTAGAAGGTGGACAACGAATTCATCATCTCTTGTTCGTTTTTCGAATTCCTACGAAGACTTCAGGCAAACAAATTGTGGTATAACACTGAAATATGTGACCATGTTCTTGGAAATGCTTCTTCCACGAACAACTATTGTTCGATTTGTCTGGTCTTCAAATACCCACACGGACATTTGCTATTTCGGACTCATACGAAGCATAGGTCCACATGTGAGAATCTTACTAATATCGCTTGAATTAAAAAAAAAGTGTTTGCACCTGTCGACAATGTTTGTCAGGTGCTTTATAGACCTAAGTAGATGTAAACTGGTAATTTTCATTGAATTTGGTTGAATGTTAAAGATTATATAGGCCAAAAGAGTGAAATTTTCAAGACCCATTACATGGGGAGTATATCAAATCCTGGTCCGATATATCAAATTTTTTGTCAGCTGCTTTATATACCCATGTAGATATAAATTGACAAATTTCATTGAATTTGGTTTAATATTAACGATTTTATAGACCAAAAAGCGTTAAATTCTCAAGACCCATTATATGGGAGGTATACCAAATCTTGGCCCGATCTATCCAAATTTTTGTCACTTGTTTTTTAGGCCAATAATTTGCATTTGTACTGAATTTCATTCACCTATGATAACTCCTTACATTTTTGGCCGCAGTTAATATGAACTCGGGACATAGCGTGACGCCTCTCTATCTCAGTTCATGCACGACGTCAATGTTCTGTGGCACAACGGTCGCTTGTTGAGTTCATATTAAGGGTTTATAACCACTTAAAAAAATGTATAAATGTTTTACTAGAAATCTAACAAACATTTTAAGCATCTTTTTACCTAAAAGTTCGCATCCTAAGCTAATTTCGAATTGTTCTTTGTTGAAAATAAATCAGTTTGCGGTGCCCATGAATTTGTTTGGAGAGATAAGGAACGTACAAATGTTTAAATTTCTTTTTTAATTTTTTGTCAATTTTATTTCTAAAGTCACTGTAAACAATTTCCTACGTCGAATCATCAAAAAACAAAAACGAACTTTCCTCAGATGGCGCTAGGCAACATTAAGTGGCCAAAAATATATTTAATCGTAGCGTTTATAAAAAACGTAGGCGTTAATAATTCCTTGATTATATGGATTACAGACATAAGTCACCATTTATTATTTTTTAGATTATCCTGCTTTCTTACTGTGAAAAAATTTTATTCGTACACGGGATAAAACATAAGGAACTGTTTTTCCATTTATCTTTTAAACGTTGGAGACTTTAAAAATTACGTTAAAATTTGTATAATTTAATATGTTTAAATGTTAAATAATTCTATTTTTCCTTCCAGAGTAAAACTTTTCATTATTCCCCCACAATTTTTCGAAAATGACACTGAACAATTCCAAGAAGACCTTTAGTATGTCAATAACCTAATCTATGTCAACACAGTGACCTTGTTCTTAAGAAAAAATACAAAATGATAACAAAAACATTGATAATAATATTTCTTATGCAATTCGCCAGATTCCCATTAAATTCTCTGAAAATGTCTAAATTTATTGTAATGTTAATTTAATTTTCCTGTAATTTCAATTCGGTTATTTTTGTTATTAAATAGATATCCAGACAACTCATAAATGTAGATGAATGAAAACATTTTTCTATAGAAATTGGTCTTTATCTGTCTGGCAATTGTTTGTTTTTATTGCATGAAAAAAGTTTATATACCGCCTTGATTGACATCAAATTGGATGCTTTCAAAAGAAGCTATGCCATACATTGGTAAACATTATTCTTTATTATACGAAATATTGTATCAGTCATTATTGTATGTTTTTTTTATTATGGAAATAAAGTTTACAAAGAAAGTAAAAAAGATAAACATAATTTGTGGCTTAACATCGGGGCCTGAGATTAAACAAATTATGTTAGACTTACGAAATTGGCTTACGAATTTGTATAAAAATAATTTACTTAATATTTAAAAATTATAACATTCTATAAAAAATTGAAATTAAATAAACTGTGCTTGCTCTGATAACATGTACATGTGAGGGGTGGCGTATACAAGTTCACAGAACGTATACGCCATGTAGGAGTTTTAACTTAACATCACGTATACGCCGCCTGGCTGCAGTTTTAATATTAAATTTTCAAATGTAATTTATCAAAACTCTACAAGACCTTTTTCATAAATTACTGACATTTTCACATTGAACATGTCAATATATAATGTACTCCAAAGTATGTAATATATAAATATAACTATGTTCCTACATATGAATATTAAGGTACTTCTGTACACCTAAAAAGCTACATTTACTTTCATCTTCGTTTTTGTTGTATGCCTATCAATATTATGAAAAATAAATATTTACAAAATTTTGATTGGCACAGAATGCAAAAAAAAAAAAAAACCAAAACGGAAAACCTTTCTCCACAGAATGTTAAGAGGAACAAAGATCCTAATCAAAAGTAAGGGAAATTATTCTTTTCCCTTCATGACTCCATAAAATATGCAAAGTGGGGAAAAAAAACTTCATATTAAATTTATTTTCCAATGAAGTTCTAAATATATATGGTTTACTTGGAAGGTCGACTTGCTGTAAGTGTGTGTGTGTGTTTGTGCGAATGGAGTCATGGGCTTCTTGAATGATAAGTTGTGAAAATCGGTGGAGGAGGGGGTCTTGGTTGGCTGACTGCCCCAACTTCTTTATCATCATCATCCGTGTCGTTCTCGTTCTCCTCGTCCTCGTCTAACACATATGTTGCAATTTTAACTTTATTGTTTTGACATCAGGGGTGTTGTAAATATGTGCTAGACACAAAGAATATATATCAAACAGACACAAGCATATATATGTAGTATGCAGTATACAAGGCACATGTTTAAATCTGTATGTGTATCACATATATATTTATATACAAACATATGTATCAAATATACAACTCGTAAATTCTTGTTCATACGGCACAAAAAAAATTGGAAAGAGAGCGAGAAAAAAAAAAACGTTGGTTAGTCATTGTTTCGTGCTTTTCGGTTAAGAGTCGCCTTTTGTTATATTATTACAGTTTTTTTCATTTGTGCGCTTTTTTGTTGTTGCTTTTTTATTTGAACATTGCGTCCACTGGGAATGAGGTCAGCAGCATATAGAACATTTTCACATGTTTTGCACACACATACACACACAACTATTATCATCATCATAAAGTACAACAAAATAGCAACAGCCCCAGACATAGGAATGGAGTGGCTAAAAGTCATTCATTTTTGGAGGGGGTTTACATCTGAAAGTTGTAAATGTTGTTACATGCTTCTATGGCCCAGAACGGAATTATGAATGAACTTCTAAGATAAATTTTTTTAGGTGCATATTTTCTGATGAGAAAGAACCCAATTTACACATTACATTAGACCTCCTTCATGAGGATTTTTTTGGCATATATTCAAACGTAAACGGGCTATAAGAATATTTAGAATTGTATTTACGGTAGTATTACAGAAAACTTCGGGAAT